ACTGTGAAGAGAAGGCAAGGATTTAATTTTATCGCACAAAAATTGATACAGGTACTAATTTGGAAACACGTTTTAGTAACTGCACACAGGGAATACAAAATAAATCCCACCTGAAGCTTTGATGTGTTGCGATGATGAGTTCACCTTCACTTTTGACATGCACCCAAGACACAGAGACCCCATAGTTCCACTCACTAATTATACAAGCCAGAACGTTGAATGTGGAATTAATAGAGCGCTGCTCGAAGAGTAAGATTAGAAGATTTAGTTTCATATTTATTTCAATGAAAAAGTGAAAGAAATTTGAGAGATTCTTCACTTTGAAATTAACTTATAGCAACAGGAGGACACTATATAGACAATAGATGAAATAGAAACAGAAAAAATTATTCCCATCTTCTTTTACTTGTAGTTTACGTTAGAGCTATTTACTTATATATATCTGAATCACTCATTGCGTGAGATCATATGGAATAGTACCATACGCGTAAATCATGATTACTTTAAGAGTATACAAATACGATTGACACAAAATCGAGACACTATAGTATGAAATCTTCCATAAAACGGCAGAAAAAGTGTCTTGGTCAAAATTCCTCTCGACCAAACTTGTCCATTCGTTTCCGAGACTAGATTTTTATTTAAGTTTTGGTATCATGCATCGTATCACTAGCCAAAGTTTTTGAGAAGACGCACAAGAAAAATATTAAAAGAATAAAGCACACCAACATGCATTGCCTATATGTACACAAGGCTTTTATCTGTTGGCACAACTAGAAACAACTACAGAAATGAAGTTGAAAAATGGCAAAGATTTGGCTGGCTCACAACAAAAGCACAATTAAAGAAAAAGAACAAAGTATGAGTCGTACAAACAAAATTAGTGCTTTCTTAGAAGTTGGCTAAAAGAACTCAATAACAAATTACGAACTCTGAAAAAGGAAATATCGAACTGCGTCAAAAGGTGTTAACAGGCAGACGAATATAGAGAAAAAGAGGACATAATGAAAGTCGAACAACAACCCACGAACCAGCACAAAAAGGATTAGAACGAAGTACATCTGACGTACAATTGAAAGAATGCACGTATCAATCCTTGCTAGTTTGCAATACGTATACAGATACTCGCGAAAAAACTCGATGAAAACCATATAAGAACGGTGTGTGCATCTCTCCTCCTGAAACCCGTATGAGAAGTAGATAATATTTGACAGGCGAGAATCAATTATAGATTTACTGCCTTGGAAACTCGAACGCTTTCTAAGGGACACACATCGATAAACAACAGAGCAGATAAGGAGAATCCGAGATATTCGCTCTTTGTTCACATTCACAACAATTTAGTTTTTCAATTAAGAAAACGATGAGCACACGAACTATAATAACTGATATCGTGCAATAATAGATTGAACATTTTTTGCTTTCGACTGTCTCATACGGCTTGGTAGTTGTTAATCTCGAAACAAATAAAGCAATCATTGCGTGCATCACAATAGCCAACAGCGGATCCATTGATGTCAAATGGCGCTTCGAGGATGTCAAATCATCTAAGAATACTGTTCGAGATTTAGTGGAGTGACGAACAGAACCAATTTGATGACAAACAGAAATGTTCGAAATCTTGATAGAATGAAGATGAAGTCGCCAAATTATGGAACAAAAATACAAAAAGACACTTGGAGAACCTGTACTTACCAGAATCAGAAATTAGTAGGAAACAGTGCTTGAACTTAACAACAACTTGAATATCTAACTAATGTAACATAGAACTAGATCTCTATTAAGCGAATGACGAGAAAAACAAAATAGAAGCTGAACTAAATAAAAGTCAAAATGCAAGAGAGCAACGAATTAATTTCTTTTTACAAATGAAATGAAAAGATGAATGAATCGAAGTTTCCTTCACAAGTAGAGGAGTAGAGAATGGCTCCTGTGTCATGGACATCCTCTATTGTTCTGTATTCGCTTTTATATATCTTGTTGTGGCTAATTGAAACTAATGCGAGAAGAAAATGATTTGATTTAGCATCTTTGGGAAAGTCAATTTTGCACTCACAATTAAATGTTATTAAAAATGTCAAAATGACTTCTAATATTCAGTAGAATTTGCGCTACGTAATCCAAAACTCACAGCAATATATTATATCGATTGGGCATCTCAGGGATTACCAAAGGGATGACTCTGCCACTATACGAGAACGGTCGCGAAATTCTTGAGATACCAAGAGGATTCAGTTTATTATTCACATACCAACAGGAGAAGACTTTTTGCAAGATTTTCTTGGCATGAAAAATTTATCCATCTCAAATTTGTGTGGTATCCAATCTATTCTTTAAATGTAGCTATCTAGTGGATGAGTTTACCCCCAAGTGTAATTAGAAAAGCTGCTTAAAAACTTTGCTCTGGATCCTACCTCGTTATATAGTAGAAGAGACGCACA